AAGTTCTTGCCTCATTAATGAATTGTTTATTTTTTTCAGTATTTAATTGACAAATTATCCTTTCAAATAATTAATTGATGAGTTACATAATTGTCCATTTAGAATTGTTGAATGGACTGAGTCAAGTTTGGTGCACTTTATATATTTCAAAACATGTTTTTTTTTATTTTAATGATGCATATAAATAATTTAAATGTTAATTTAATGAAATATTTCTATTTTTTCATTACCTCACCCTTGTTTTGACAAAAACGGGACCTTGCTGGATAATATCATGGAGAAACTATTTGTTCACAGTACATGGCTCCGTAAGGATCTGTGTACCAAAGGAGGAGATACTCAGAAATCTGTCTGCAGATTGTTACAACCCAGACTGGAAGTGGCGGGCTGTAATAAGAAAGGAGACCAAACAGAGGAGTGGGGGTTCAACAACTGATTTATTTAACAAAAGTAAGGATTTACTAAAGCAAGTTAGTGAACAGAAAATGGCCATCTCAAGGTTTTACTCGGATGTCCCTCAGCAGGGTGCAGCACTGTTGAAGGTCATCTGAATGAAAGCTTGATATGCAGCTTCTTTATGAAAGTGTGTAAATATACAGTGTGGTTGCCGTACATATGTTGAGGTTCTCAGACATCAGGCTTCTTTGCCCAGGCCTTCACTAGTGGGCTATTTTAAAAGTTGGTAAGGAGAAAAACCACAGCATATAGCTGATTGTTTACAAATGCAAGGAGGGGAATAACAATCAAAATGCTTGTGTTCTTGGACCAGATGAATGGAGTGCTCCACATGCACTCAGAGATGTTATGGCTTCTGTTTCTATAACTTTACATGCAGACATTTGAGGTTTGCCAGAAAGGAAAGCTGGCCTGTACACTTTGCAGGGCACAATGTCATCAATGAAGAAACCCCTGTCTACCAAGATGACCATCTCTAGTTGTAGCATTTTCAACACACCAGATTCCCAGGTTGGTCGCTGATAGTTCCAGCATACAGCGCTGAGACAAAGGTCACTGGCCTATGTGGCACAATCCAAATGAGCCTCTTCAGAGTGCAGTTGAACTTGAGGAAAATATATGACTCTGGAAGAGAGGGGAATATGGCCATTGACACCTCAGATCAGTGCAGTCAAGAATTACTGGTGTTTGGGTAGTCCTGAACGTGTTGTGATGCCCCCACCATCTCATTGGGTTTTCATTTGTGTTTAATTGTGTTTTTCTTCTGTTGTAGGCAGCTCGTTAAGCAGCCTTGGAGGCACCTGGGCTCAGGGTGTGGTGCTGCCTACAAAGCCTACTGTTTTTCTGCTTTCACTGGGTCTCTCCTGTGTGGTGGAGAGTCCTCACTGGCCATTTTCTGTTCACTAACTTGCTTTAGTAAATCCTTACTTTTGTTAAATAAATCAGTTGTTGAACCCCCACTCCTCTGTTTGGTCTCCTTTCTTATTACAGCCCACCACTTCCAGTCTGGGTTGTAACAATCTGCAGACAGATTTCTGAGTATCTCCTCCTTTACACAGATCCTCACTGAGCCATGTACTGTGAACAAATAGTTTCTCCATGATATTATCCAGCAAGGTCCCGTTTTTGTCAAAACAAGGGTGAGGTAATGAAAAAATAGGAATATTTCATTAAATTAACATTTAAATTATTTATATGCATCATTAAAATAAAAAAAAAACATGTTTTGAAATATATAAAGTGCACCAAACTTGACTCAGTCCATTCAACAATTCTAAATGGACAATTATGTAACTCATCAATTAATTATTTGAAAGGATAATTTGTCAATTAAATACTGAAAAAAATAAACAATTCATTAATGAGGCAAGAACTTTTCTCTCTCTGTCTCTCTCTCTCTCTCTCTCTCTGTCTCTCTCTCTCTCTCTCTGTCTCTCTCTCTCTCTCTCTCTCTCTCTCTCTCTCTCTCTGGAAGCCCCACTCTAAGGGAGTTTGCAGTGTATTAGTGAGTCATATATTGTACAACCACAGTCATAAAGTTTTCAATCAGTAGTTTTATTTCAGTATGTATTTTTCCAGTATCACAAAAAATGTAATTTTATATGGTTAAAACCATCTAGCTTATGTGCACTTTTTAAAACACTGCCCAGCAAACATTCGGACGTTTAATGACAGTTGAACGGTTACAACTGTAAAATACCTGAAATTAAGAAAAATTAACATGACATCTACTGCATTTTCCTTGCCCGGCCTCGAACCTGGATCCTCCGGGGCGAGAGTCACCCGCTCTTCCAACTGAGCTATGCCAGCGACTACTTGACTAGCAGACTTTTTTATATAGATAGGTAGAGGGTAAAGTGCGGGGTACACTAACCAATCAGAGGACAGAGAAGATCTGCCACAGGCCACGCCTCCAGAGTGCCAAAACCCTTACAGCCGAGCGAGCAGGAGTCAGAAACCGAGCGCGCAGAGAGGCTGCCGAGCGCGCACAGAGGCTGCCGCGCGCGCACGTTTTCCTCTGCCGTGTGCTCGTTGACAACGCGCGCACGCAGGTTTGTCACTTGTGCACATCCTTGTGCGCTCACAGACACAGTTTGCTCCCTCTCAGTGCACAAATGACCTCTCGCCATGTATATTTCCGCTCGCGAGTCCCGTTCACACGCGCGCTGTGGACCCAATGCGCGTGCACGGGTTGTGGCACGCTTTTAACGCCATAGAGACCCCAACTGCTTAGTAGTCCTTTCGCGGCTGACATGGGAAGCGAACAACTTCCAGGCGGGGCTGACTCCAGCGTATTGACACGCTCAGGTCAGAGCTGTTGCAGCTTGTATCTTTCCTCTTTGACACAGCCCGAGCTGCTGAAATGCTCTCCATTTGCACCAGCACTTATATGTGAGCAACTGTCCTCTCTGATAAAGCTCAATTTAGAGCCTAACCTTCTGATGCAGGCATCTGGCTGGAACAGGTGAGCATCAGAGTGGAGCTTGAATTATTGTGGTTTTTATGCACTTTTTCTGTTCCAAAGCATGCAAGTTAATAGCTGAGACTTTTCATTTAAGAGAATTACTTTTTTTCTTTTTGTTGGCATGTGAAAAACATATTGAATTCGGGGCCAACTTGGGGGGCTGTAGTGAGCTCGCGTGTACGCTTGCGCGCTGCGGAGCGGTGGAACAACGGGTTTCAACAGCAGAACCGACTAATCTATGCTGGTACAACTCACCCCTCTAAATTACGCAAAAAGTTGCAGACACGTGAGTTTTGTAGCAAATATGCACGTGTGGTACCACTCATGTCTGACAACCCGATTCAGCAGCGTGGTGAAGAAGTTTGATCCAATCTTTGTAGAAAAAGTGGAGGAAAAACAGTTGTGCATAACCTATAGCAAATCGCCTCCTCCCTGCTCCATCCCACATTCTGCCCAGTGTTATGCTGAGAATAGCATCCCCTCATTACTTGAAGTAGTAGTGGATGCATATTTCGGCAGTGCAACATTTCAAGCTGACGATTATGCATCCCCATCTTTTAAAGTGTTACCTGCTATGCTCAAACCACAGAATGTATATAAATAAATATATATATATATATTTATTTAAAAAAACACAGAAATACCATAGCAGATCTTTGAAAAATTCATCTGGGACACAGTAAAGATTCTATTAACCGTCACGTACAAATTGTTAGGATAAAACCTGGTATTTCTGTGTTTATTTTAGTTTTAATATAAATATATATATTTATATACATTGTGTGGTTTCAGCATAGCAGGTAACAGTTTAAAAGATGGGGATGCATAATTTGGCAGCTGAAAAAAGTTGTCTGTCCACAGGCATCTTCCCACTGCTTTCGCCTCTTCTTGTCAGTAGGAAAGCTGTAACTCACATCACTCCCCTTGTTGCCTTTTGACTGGAAATTGCATCCAAAAGCAGCGCAATGCAGCATTTTACTTAATTATTATAACGGTGATCACATAAACATACGTCATCGTCCCCAGAGTGCATTGCACGCAGAAAACATGGTGTCTTACGTATGTCAACAAATGTACTAAACATAGTTTTGTAAATAATTGGCTATATTTTGTGTGCTTCTAACAACATATTTTGGTACAACAGAAAAATATTGGCTTATTAGGGTAAACACGTCCTCATAGCTGGAGTTCCTTTTAAATTCTTGGTATCAATATCTTTTTCGTACTGTGTGTGTTTTAGATTCTAGAGGAAGTGAAGCTCATAAGCAAAGTGGATGTGGAGAAACGCATAGTCACCAACTTTGCCAAGATGTCCCAAAAATTGTTGACAAGGCTCCTAAAAGTGCCCTCAAGGACAAGTGTTTGGTTGGGCTTGATGCCTCAGAGACAGAAGAGGAAAGAAGAGGTATGTTGTGCCTCTAATAACTTTACAGTTTAATAAATTGTTATGCATTTTACTTTACCATGCTCAATTACGTGTTTATGTTTATGTATTTAGCAGACGCTTTTGTCCAAAGCGACTTACAAGTGATAATCGGCATTTTGCCCTTGAGGCTAACAACAACAATAGTAACAACAACACATTGACATCAGTCATGGAGAGGAAGGAACAAGGAGTGGGCAGTATAGAGGGGGGACGGGTGCAGGGAGGGTGCTAGTTTAGAAGATGCTCTCTGAAGAGCAGGGTCTTCAGGAGTTTCTTGAAAATTGAAAAGGACGCCGCAGTTCTGGTAGTATCAGGAAGGTCATTCCACATTTGTGGAACGATGCATGAGAAGAGTCTGGATTGTCCTGAGCGTGGTGTAGGCACTGTTAGCCGACGATCCTGTGATGACCGGAGCGGCCGGGCCGAGACGTAAGCCTTTGCAAGAGGATTCAGGTAGATGGGAGCCGTACCATCTCAGACTTTTTATGCTAGTGTTAGCAATTTGAATTTGATGCGTGCTGCTAGTGGTAGCCAGTGGAGCTCAATGAACAGAGGGGTGACGTGTGCTCTTTTAGGCTGATTGAAGACCAGACGCGCCGCTGTGTTATTTGAGACACTTATATTTTTCTTTACAATTCTTCTGTATTTTTTTGAAGGTCAGATTGTCAACGCTGCAGTGCTTCTACTACCTTCTGTCTTCAAAGAGGACCCACAGCAGCTATTTGTCATTGACAAGGTAAATATGACTTGCACTTGAACTCAGACTTGCAACATCAGGACTTGAACTTGGACATGGACTCAGACTCCAACATGTGAAATTTATTTTGTTTGAATTAGGGCTGGACAATATAGAAAAAAAGCATATTGATAAAATTCATATTGATCCATATGAATAATTATTGAAAAATTAGATATTTTAAAAAAACTATAGAATTTATATTTTAAGTAGGGCTGAAACGATTCCCCGAGTACCTCGAATAATTAGAGTACAAAAAATCCTCAAGTCAAATTCTCTGCCTCGAGGATTCGTTTAATTCATATTTAATTAATTCATGGCTTTGCAATCGCCCGGGGTCATGTTTCACCCGGACCGAAATAAGTGATGCACATACACACTGGACTGAATGCACACGCGAGTAGCGAATGTAACTTAACTCTCTTTTAAGCCATGGCGAACAACGTGGACCCCGGTGGAGTGCGAAAAAGACAGAAAATGTCAAAGGTGTGGGACCATTTTTCACGTCGTAAGGCGGAAAACGTAGTCCAGTGTAAATACTGTAAAATGGATTTAGCCTACCACAACACCACATCCTCCATGCTGCAGCACCTGACCAGGAAACATCCACATGTAAATGTCACTTCTGCAAGCGGACTCTGAGCCTCTACAAGATAATGCATTTTAGCCTGTATTTCTATATATACTGCAGACACTGTGCGACTTTTTCATTTGTAGCACTCAGTTTCAGCTCACACCGTACGTCTGGTAGCAACACGTCGGTCTTAGAATGTGCTAAAAACAGCAGTTTTTACAACACGTCAGACTTTTTACTGTGTTGTTATTGATGTCAGTTGTCCCTCAGGATTGCTGCAGGAGGACACGGGTATTTATGAGTGGCGGAGGAAAACGAAAGAAAGTAAATAAATGTGTGATCAGTATAATTTCACAAAACCACGGCAAACATGCTTTCGACAATCCTTGTTATTGTGAGACAAAAAAAAGTGTAGAAATTAAAACGGACGTGTGTTAATAGGGAAACAGCTGGCGAGCCATGTTTGCGCATGCGCCGTGAGCGGTTCTGGTGCTGTTTGGGCCGCAGCCGCTCGCATTTGTTTACTGTGAAGTAAAGTTGAAGTGCTGAAGTTTTGAAAACTAATTTTGAATAAAACTTAAAGAATAACTGGCAACTGCTTGCTCATTTCAGGAGGTCTTTCCTAATTATAACATGCTGTTTGATATGATGGTTTAAAAACGCAAAAGGGTAATTTATTAGAGTACTCGGTTAATTGATAAAAGATTTGATAGAGTACTCGATTACAAAAATATTCGATAGCTGCAGCCGTAATTTTATGCTATTTGCTCATTAACTACTTTCAGTAAAGAACAGACAAAACCTAACTTAAATATATTATTTAAATATCTTTATTTTACTAGAACTAAACTATTTCAGGAAAATATTAAGTTGTGTTTATGTTTCTAGCACAAATTAAGATTTCTGTTGAATTTGTGATTTTTAGTTTTCTAATCAAGGTTTAGCTGCAGCAGATTAGTCACAATTATAGTGAAATGTACAAACATGATGAGAAATTACAAAATACCATCCTGCTTTCACCAGGGCTGCCAGCTCTAAAACAATGAGCATGAGACTAGGGCTGCAGCTATCGAATATTTTTGTAATCGAGTACTCTATCGAATCTTTTTTTCGATTAATCGAGTACTCTAATAAATTACCCTTTTGTGTTTGTAAACCATTATATCAAATAGCATGTTATAATTATGAAAGACCTCTCAAAATGAGCAAGCAATTGCCAGTTATTCTTCAAGTTTTATTCAAAATTAGTTTGCAAAACTTCAGCACTTCAACTTTACTTCACAGTAAACAAATGTCTGTGCAAAAAATAAGTACACAACCTGAGCCGATTTTCCCCTCGTGCGAGAATCTGCTAGCCTGCAAGCCAGACAAAAACTAGGAGGATAACTGTTCAAGTAGCGCTGCGACCGGCTGCGGCCCAAACAGAACCAGAACCGCTCACGGCGCAAACAGCTCACCGGCTGTTTCCCTATTAACCCACGTTCGTTTTAATTTCTACACTTTTTTCTCACACAATAACAAGGATTGTCGAGAAAGCATGTTTGCCGTGGTTACGTCAAATTACACTGATCACAAAACATTTATTTACTTTCTTTCGTTTTCCTCCGCCACTCATAAATACCCGTGTCCTCCTGCTGAAACCCCGAGGGACAACGGACATCAATTACACAATAAAAAGTCCGACGTGTTGTGTAAAACTATTTTTTAGCACATTGTAAGACCGACGTGTTGCTACCAGATGTACGGTGTGAGCTAAAACTGAGTGCTACAAATGAAAAAGTCGCACAGTGTCTGCAGAATATATAGAAATACAGGCTAAGATGCATTATCTTGTAGAGGCTCTGAGTCCGCCTGCAGAAGTGACATTTACAGGTGCTGCAGCACGGAGGATGTGGTGTTGTGGTAGGCTAAATCCATTTTACAGTATTTACACTGGACTACGTTTTCCACCTTACGACGTGAAAAATGGTCCCACACCTTTGACATTTTCTGTCTTTTTCGCACTCCACCGGGGTTCAAGTTGTCCGCCATGGCTTAAGAGAAAGTTAAGTTACGTTCGCTACTCGCGTGTGCATTCAGCCCAGTGGGTATGTGCGTCACTTATTTCGGTCCGGGTGAAACATGACCCCGGGCGATTGCAAAGCCATGAATTAATTAAATATGAATTAAACGAATCCTCGAGGCAGAGAATTTGACTCGAGGATTTTTTGTACTCGAATTATTCGAGGTATTCGAGGAATCGTTTCAGCCCTACATGAGACACATGCATCTGACCTTGTACACATGCTCTCACGCTACATCTCCAATACCCCCCGCCCCTGGCGCTCTTGCGGATAAAGACTAAAGAGACTGCGTGCACCCCTCGACTCCCCCCTTTAACAAATGGTCAGGAATGACGCACTTTGTTTTCATTTAGTTTTTAACCCTTTAACACCGAGGCGTCACCAGGATCACCGGTGACGCCTCGGCACATGTGATTTCAAATAACTCCTTGCTACTTAAACTATAAAATTCTTTAAAAAAAAATAATAAAGGAGCTACTGTGTGGTGCTTAAAGGGTTAATGAAATCAAGGCCGTTTCACATTCTATTCAACTCTAATCAGGCAGTGATCGAGGTTGCTTTTCTAAGAGAGACCTGAATGAGAAATATTAACGCAATCGGAGAAACTCCTCCAATTGTCTGACTTGCCTTGCTTTGGTTTTTGTGTCATAAAGACCTTGTTTCAGCTTCTTTTCAACATCAGTTGCCGACTCCATACTCATCCCAATCCTGCACTGTTTCTTTTAGCCGACCGTTCCCGCCCGCAGCAAAATTCACACCGCCCGCCCCCGCAAGATTTGTGTTGGGTTCCGCGGGACCCAATCCCGATGCAGCCCTCTTAATATGAACCTTCGCTAGCTATGCTACACCATGGATTTCACACTTCACCATGGATGCCCTATCCTGGCAGCAGCCAGCCAGTGCCAGCTGGGCATTACCTTGCGCGTCCTCCAATCAATTGAAAATATTCTCTACCAGAAAGCCCTCCCTCTTTCAAACAGATTCTGCTGCAACCATTCCAGATCTCTGTGTAGACTCAACACGGGGCGGGGCTACACAGAGAGATCTGGCTGCTGCCAGGTTAAAATATTTTCAACTTTGCTTAATTGGTCATTTTGTCTGAAAAAGGGGGTCTTAAGGGCTTTTCTATGATTGCATTTTACAGGATCCAGTGTTTCCAACACCAACTGTTGTTCTGACAGACTGCAGGGACGAAGACCCACTGCAGAGTGAGGCCATCACTGTGAAGATGGATAATGAAGAGATACTCCTCGATGATGGCAGTGTGGACATCTCCCTTGCCCTGGCTGCTACTTTTTCTCTTTACCACATCTTCCAAGTTCAGTATCCCAAAAACTTGAGAAAGACTGTTTCCTTTCTGGAAACTTTTGTTTTCAAAATGAAGGGTTCTGTTCCAATTGCTGTGCAAAGGTTTTATAATTCACTGTAAAAAGCAAGCCTGGCACTTTCTGTTATGGTTTTCCATTTGTTCTGTTTGTGTGATTTTGCAAATGTGTTCAACTCGAGTTGCTCTTTACCGCCACTATTTTTCCAGCATTGTAAAAAACATTTCAGCACTTTATAATACCTTTTTGCCTTGCATAGGATTATATTATGTCTGCTTGTTTACACTGTTTGTTCGCAGTGCATGGCCCATCAAGTGACTACATCACAAGACATTTAAGATGGCGCCTGTAAACTTGCGTGACAGAGCTTTCTTGCTTGAGAAGTTACAACTACTTTCCTGAAGCAAATAAATTGACTGCATATTGGAACCTTGCAGTATGTGAGTTCTTTTTTTGACTCGCCTGTCCAAGATTTTTGGTACAGATGTGGGTAGGGACTTTCTTTGAGAATGTCAATTTTATACATTTTTATGAAAAACAATTAGTTGTACCTTTTTTAATGGCATTATTGTTTGCTTTGAAGGACATGTTATATGATCAGTTTTTGTTGTGTTTAATTTTGTAGAAATAATTTTTTCAAGAAATGTAGAAACAAAAAACATCCCTTTATAACCTCTAAAACAAAGTTTTGTCTGGGTGTAAATGAAAACAGATTTGACAGGAATGAAACAGTGATTTAATGTAATTGGGTCCCAAAATTTTCTTTTTGGTTTAATTACTGCACTTAAATTGATAATTTCTGATTAACACACCCAAAAAAACTTTTTCTGAAGCACCTAAATGAATTAGTTCTTCAGAGAACCCCTTGATAAATGGTTATTTAAGGAACCCTAAAAGGTTCTGATTTTAAGGTTCCACAGAGAATCTAATGATGTTCTTTAAAGAACTTTTTTTGGTTCTCTGAAGCACCCAATTAAATTAGTTCTTCATAGAACCTTTTGATAAATGGTTATTTGTGGAACCCTAAAAGGTTCTATATGTGAGGTTCCACAGAGAACCAAATAAAAGTTCCTCAAAGAACCCATTTATAAATGGTTCTTTGAGGAACCAATGGGCAAAAGGTTTCTTGGAGAACCGAAGAAGGTTCCCCTATGGCATCACTGTGAAGAACCGTCTTTGGTTCTAACTGGAACCTTTATTTTTAAGAGTGCAGGCAGCTTCACGACATGAGGCTCCTCACTAATCTGCCTCATGTCTTGCACCTGGGTCCTGGCTTCTCTATTTAAGCATCTTTGCAACAGTTTCCTTTGCCAGTTTGTCTTCTTCAGTTGAGTACTGTGAACCTGCTCTCAGTAACACTTTGTGAAAGTGTATTTAGTTAGTTTTGGAGTTGTTCAGTTGTGCTGTACTGCCAGGAATCCCTTCTGCTGATTAAAACTGTGTGAGCTCTGCATTTGAGTCCTCTTTGTGCTTTGATAGTACAAACTGGCCAAAAATGGACTCAGCAGGCTCTGATTCAGTTTTGGGGGCCCTGGGGGCTCAGGGGAAGAGGCTCCTCCAACAGGAACAACAGATGAGCCTACTGCACCAGGAGATGGGGCAACTCTATGCTCGACATGATCAGTTTGCTACCTCTGTCAGTGATCAACTCAGTTACCTGGTGGAGAAGGTGCAGCAGCTCCAGACCTCTTCAACCCAGCCTCCAGAGAAGAACCACATGCCGCAGCCCCAGAGTAACGAGGTGGAGGTGACTCCTGGAATATTCTCTGCATCCCCTGGCCTATCTGTTCATCTTGCTCGTCCTGAGAGGTTTTCTGGGGACTCTGGTGATTGTCAAGCATTTTTGACACAGTGTAGCCTCCACTTTGAACTGCAGCCCTTCTCTTTCCCCACGGAGAGAGCCAAGATTGCTTTTCTCATCTCCCACCTTTCAGGCAGGGCCGAGGCCTGGGCCACGAGCGAGTGGGAGCGCGACGCGGACATTTGTAAGTCATTTGATCTTTTTACTAAGCGTTTCACTCAAATTTTTCAGCACACCAGGCCTGGGAGGGAGGCTGCCAGAGCTCTATGTCAGCTGCAGCAGAAGAGGAGACGTGTCGCTGATTATGCTATTGAATTTCGTACTTTGGCTGCTGCATGTGACTGGAATCAATCAGCACTTTTTGATGCCTTTTTGAGTGGTCTTTCCAGTGAACTCAAGGATCTGTTAGCCCCTCTGGATCTGCCGGAGGATTTGGACTCTCTCATCGCTCTGGCGATCAAGATTGACAAGAGGCTCACAGACCGACAACGAGAGAGAGGTTTCGACTTCCCTTCTCCTCCGGACCGGTGGAGGCGGGGCGCTACTAATGGTGGCTCCAGTTGGCGTGGGTCAGCCCCTGACTCTTCTCTCAACGTGTCCTCAGCTTCACCAGCTTCATCAGAGGAGCCCATGGTGATTGGCAGAGCCCACCTTTCACCTGAGGAACGTCAACGCCGCTTTCGGGGGGGTCTCTGCCTGTATTGTGGCCAGCCGGGTCACCAAGTCAGCGACTGTCCAGTAAACAAGAAGGGACCTCTAAGGAGGTTTTCGTTGGTGAGTTGCACCTCCTTTTCTAATGACATCCAACGTGCAAGCCCCACTGTCCAGCTCTCCACTCCTGAAAGGACTGTTGAGCTGGTGGTGCTCATTGACTCTGGTGCAGATGTTAACTTGATGGATGCTCAATTTGCAAGACAATTGAACTTAGAGTTTTTGCCTCTTGAAAGGCCCCTGCAGGCTGTCGCCTTGAATGGACATCCGTTGTGCTCTGTGTCTAGTCGAACCCCACCTGTTAAAGTGACTTTCGCTGATAACCATTCTGAAATGATTACGTTTTTCCTGTCTGATTTTCCTCGACACCCGGTCATTTTGGGTCATCCCTGGCTTGTTCGGCATAACCCTAACATAGATTGGTCCTCTGGTTCAATTTTATCTTGGAACTGCGATTGTTTACAGTCTACTCCTGGTAGTACCCCTCCTTCTCAGGTTGTAGGGGTTCTACCAGGCTGTGATTCTGATTTCCCTGATCTGTCTCGGGTTCCCTCTTGTTACCATGACCTTAAGGAGGTTTTTAGCAAGTCACGGGCTGCCTCTTTGCCCCCGCATCGTCCGTATGACTGTGCCATTGACTTGCTACCGGGAACCACGCCCCCTAAGGGTCGCCTGTACCCGTTGTCCTTACCTGAAAGGCAGGTCATGAGGGATTACATTGACACAGCGCTCCGGGCAGGCATAATCCGTGAATCTTCGTCCCCTGCTGGGGCAGGTTTTTTCTTTGTGACCAAGAAGGACAACACTTTACGTCCGTGTATCGATTAACGGGGTCTCAATGACATCACCATCAAGAACAGGTACCCCCTCCCTCTGGTCTCCTCGGCTTTTGAACTCTTACAAGGTGCTACAGTTTTTACTAAGTTGGATTTGAGGAATGCTTATCACCTTGTGAGAGTGAGGGAGGGGGATGAATGGAAGACTGCCTTTAATACGCCCAGTGGGCATTATGAGTACCTCGTGATGCCTTTTGGTCTCTCTAATGCTCCCGCGGTTTTTCAGGCTCTGATTAATGATGTACTTCGGGACATGCTCAATGATTTTGTTTTTGTGTACCTAGATGATATCCTGATTTTCTCCCCTGATATGCAGTCCCATATCCAGCATGTGCGGAGGGTTCTTCAACGCCTTCTCCAACACCAGCTCTATGTGAAGGCGGAGAAGTGTGCCTTCCACGAGTCGTCTGTTCATTTTCTTGGGCTTGTTGTGAGGCAGGGGGAGATCCAGATGGATCCGACAAAGGTGGAGGCGGTCAAGAACTGGCCGGTCCCTACCTCGAGGAGAGAGGTGCAGAGGTTTTTAGGTTTCGCAAACTTTTACCGTCGGTTTATTAGGGGTTTCAGTAGCGTTGCCGCCCCTTTGCACGCTCTGACCTCCCCAAAAGTCAGGTTTCAGTGGTCCTCTCAGGCAGACAAGGCTTTTCTGAGTCTTAAGGACAGTTTCACTTCTGCTCCGATTCTGGTAATGCCTGATGCCCGGTTCCAGTTCATTGTTGAGGTGGATGCCTCCGAGGGGGGAGTGGGGGCTGTTCTCTCTCAGCGCTCCGAGGTGGATCACCGCATTCATCCCTGTGCATTCCTGTCACGCAAGCTGTCTGCCGCTGAGAGGAACTACGACATTGGGGATCGTGAGCTATTGGCCATTAAAGTGGCCTTGGAGGAGTGGCGCCACTGGCTCGAGGGGTCCAAGCTGCCATTCATCGTGTGGACCGACCACAAAAATTTAGAGTACCTGAGACGGGCCAAGAGGTTGAATCCTCGTCAAGCCAGGTGGGCCTTGTTTTTTACACGTTTTAACTTCACTGTGTCTTATCGACCCGGTTCGAAGAATGTGAAGCCTGATGCTCTGTCCCGCCTGCCTAACACAGTTTCCTCTGTTCCTGAGGTCCCAGCACCAGTCCTCCCCTTGTCTTGTGTGGTTGGAGCAGTGACCTGGTCTGTGGAGGAGCAGGTGAAGCAGGCAGCTGCTTCGGTTCAGGCCCCTGATGGTTGTCCTGCAAACCGGCTTTTTGTTCCCCCTACCCAGAGGTCTCAGGTTATTCACTGGGCCCATGCTTCCCGTTTTTCGTGCCATCCGGGGGTCAAGAGAACAATGTTTGTAATTCAGCAACGGTTCTGGTGGCCATCTATGAGACATGATGTTGCTGAGTATGTGGCAGCCTGTCCAGTATGTGCTCGACACAAGACCTCCCACACACGTCCTTCGGGCCTACTTCTCCCTCTCCCCGTTCCCACTCGGCCCTGGTCACACATCTCTCTGGATTTTGTTTCCGGGCTACCTGTTTCTGAAGGTAATACCACTATTCTCACTGTAGTCGACAGGTTTTCTAAGATGGTGCACTTCATTCCCCTTTCTAAGTTACCCACGGCCAAGACGACCGCAGAGGTATTGTTGTCTCAGGTTTTTAGGATCCATGGTTTCCCAGTTGACATTGTTTCGGACCGTGGCCCTCAATTCATTTCCCGTTTTTGGAAGGCCTTTTGTTCCCTGTTGGGGTCTTCTGTCAGTCTCTCTTCAGGTTACCATCCCCAGAGTAACGGGCAGGCTGAGAGGCTAAATCAGGAGCTGGGAACCGGTCTACGCATCCTTGCCGCTGAGTGCCCCTCGACGTGGTGTAAGCACCTAGTGTGGGTGGAGTTTGCCCACAACACCTTGCCAACCGCTTCTACAGGTCTTTCCCCATTTCACTGTGTGTATGGTTATCAACCGCCTCTGTTTCCTGCTCTAGAAGGGGAGGTCAGCGTCCCGTCTGCCCATGCCCTTGTTCGGCGTTGTCGTAGGACCTGGGTTAGGGCGCGTCGCACCCTCCTGAGACAATCTACGTCCTACAAGTTGGCTGCTGATCGTCTCAGGGTCC